TTTGAAATGTGGGTGACGGGAACCAGTCACCCAGCTGCTGAGGCTGCCAATTACTGCTGTGATAGCGGGAGCTGCCTCAGGGCTGGGTTTAGTCCTGGCACCGGTGCTTTGCAAAGTTTCAGATCCCGACTTGGCCATTCCTGGCTGCCAAGAGATCTCTTGGTGACACCTGGTGTAGAGCTCAGATTTCTGCATCTCCACAAGACTATGTTAACTTTTACCCTTGACAGAACTGAAAGGAGTGAACTTGCAAAGAATGATTTAGATTGATGGATGCAGAGAGAAGGAAGTGGATTTCATGATGCATTCATAAACTCCTCAGAAAAAAACCTGGAGTAGTGCTGTACCCGAGTGATGATTCTGAACTTCTCATCACACCGATACTTGACATCCCCCAAAATAAAAGTCAAATCTCTTCTACAGCACAGGAACTTTGTCGTAAAGGTATCCATTTCGCTTCACATCCCAAGATTTCTGCAGTTCGAATGTCTGCACTGCTTCATTTATTTTAAACAACAAAAAAAACCCCAAATCAAATGCAAAACTACCCACAACCAAGCTCTCACACATCACTCCAAGGGGAATGTCAGCCTCAGGGTAGCTCCACCGTCTGCCAATCCAAGAGGAATGCCCACCCTCATCTCCCAGCCTTGGTGGTCTTTTCGGACAAGGGCGGGTTTCTTGATGGCAAACTGGGAAGCGGCTCTTCAACCAACATCCCACTGGGCAAGGGCCTCTTCTCTCAGGCTGCCTCCTCCCCAGAGGATTACACTCAGCGATTCAGTCTCTGGCCAAAGGGGTTTATTTGTAGACAAGTCAGCCAAGTATTTAGTTCTGTAAACATCTTAAGTAAATTCCTGTTGCCCCATTATATCATCTTCATACTTCCTTACTGGTTCACTGCATTTATTTAAAAGGAAATAAGAAATGTGTTAAAAGAATAGAAGTGACTCAGGTTTTAAAGATAGTTTCTGGAGGCTGGCTATTTCTTTACAAGATGGGCAACGATTTGTACAGATAAACCAGACCTGCCTGTACCATGGGCAAGACAGACCAAGTGTTGATTACCGAGAAAAAAACCCAGCCAATGAGAGGTAGAGCCCCTAAATTGTTTCTTAAACCTCCCAGAGTATCAAACTCAGTACCAAAAGAGTAGTTCTCATACAAGTAACACACTAAAACACGAAGAAGTAAAAAAATTAGGAGACTACTTAATTTTAAAGATAATTGCAGACATGATTTTATTCTGAATTTTACAAATAACAAGCATTTTTCTATAAAAAACTAGGGTAAGAATCATTTCAGTTACAGCTACAATTATTTACATTCTTAAAAGAAATTTCTCTATATACAAGGCTGTGGCCATTACTAGTTTAAAGTACTCCCAAAGGCGTTTGTAAGGAAGGTGTTTGGTGCCTGAGCCAGTTCTATGCTTTAAGAAAAGCCAGGATTAAGGTTCTATTCTACCAATACTGAAATAGGTATTTATTCACTGAGGCAGCTCCATCAGTTCCCTCACGTGCATCTGGCCCCAGAGAGCGTTAAAAGAGGAGCCCCTCAGGGGGAGGCTGTAAAACGGGCCCGGCTGTAAAGCAGACAGGCACAACTCATGTTAAATCTTAAATTCCATGAGATCAGGGACCCAGTATTAGCATCACCACTGAAATCCTCTGAAAACAGTGTTTTTACACAACGTAGACAGATGCAGAGCAAAAATGTTCAGCAACACCTCGCAGGCAGCTTCGTGTACGACTGCGAAGGGGTTGTGCAACTAATGTGACGAAACCTCCAAAACCCAACCCTTGCTGCAGTTACTGCAGCCCAACGCCCTGGCCAACGCAGCACTCGTCGTGCCTCCTTCTTCCCAACGGGGAGGAAGGTGGAAACTGGGGAAGGCGTTAACAAAAACCGTGTCAGAAGCCCTCTGAGGCTGCCTGCTTCTGAAGGATGAAAAATCAAACGATGCTCACGTGAGCGTGACGTTCACCGTCAGGAGAGTCCAGCGGGGAACCTAACGAATACGGACTGTGTGGCACAAACCTCCCGAGAAAGTACGGTGCCTTGAGTTCACGGTATTCCCACTTGCAAGCCAAGAAACTGAAGTCACGGGATGACATGACATGCCCAAGATGATTGAAGAAGTCGCAGAGGGATCCACGCTCCCAGCTCAGGCTGTCTGCCGTTTCCCTTGGTGAAGGTGTGCTTTGTTCTCCAGCAGAGGATTTTACCTGACCAGGTAATTCTGTATAAACTGTATCGCTGCCGTAGTGCAGGCTACAGGCACCAAAACCATTCTGTATTTCCCAGGATAAGGTCAGCCTGAATGTCAAAGTCAGTGCTACCTTCCTCTGCAGCACAGGGAGCTCACAGGTTTATCCCCAACTTCTCTTCAAAGGCACATTCTGTCGCATCCCCTTTGTCTGGTGCCCCTCTAAGATTTGCCAAAGGCTGGATCCTTTCACCTCCATCTCATTTGCACAGATGAGGCCACCCACCTGTATTAAAATATCCCCTTGGTTTCTCTTGGAAATACCGACTAGCTGGACTCTGCTTACTCATTTGAAAAAGCCCCCCGTTTCAGAGATAAACTCCAAAAGAGTAGGACAAAATAACCCCGTGTGCTGCATTAGATACATTCTATAGGCCTGACTCATGCTTTTTTTGTTTTTAAACAGATAAGCAAGGAAAAAAAATATGTATTTGCACAAACAAAGACTGTCGGTGTTCTGTAGTGTTAGTCATAACCAGGAAATTCTCTAACTTGTCTGGATTAAAAACAAAACAACAAAAAACCCCCCAAACCCAAACCCACAAAAACCTTTTGTAAACATCAGAATGTTTAAACGTTCAAGAACAAAAGTCTCACTGTCGAGGCACATACCTGGATAAAACAGTGGATAAGAAATTAACAGCTAAATCAGACGTTAAATGGACTTTGCACTTTAGGGCAGGAATTTCCGCACTAGGTCGTGTATCAGACACGCATCTTACATTTCAGGATATTTTCTGAAACAAGTTTACAGGAAGAGACTTATGGGTCACGGTTGTTTACATTGGCAAATTCATTACGAGGAAGTTGCAGCTAAATGTGTTTTGCCTCAGATTCCTGCGGTTACCAGATATTCTCCCTCAACACACAGAAAAGCAGTTGCTTCTGAATGTTGCAGTTCCTAGAAATTAGGTTTACAAAGAAAAATACCTGTACCGAGTTTTAGGACATGCTCTTATGTTTGCAAAGGGTATTTTGAAAGAGGTGGTTAAGCTTGACAGATTGTGTCACGTCTTTTGGGCGAGGGAGACTGGCTCTTACATGCACTCTCCCGAGAAGTATTTGCTCATGTCAAGGCTGTTATATGATGTGCAGTGAGACTTGCAAAAAAAAAAATCCCTGATTCTCTGTTTTTGCGCTAGCTTTAAATCACGTTTTCAAGCCGCCTGCCAATGGCCTGTCAACCTATGAAACTGGAGTGATGCTGAGCCTGCCCCAACATTCCCATTTCTCTCCTCGGGTTAAGCAAAACCACGTTGCTCGGTATCATTCTCCGACCCAGTAACATCGGCCAACTGCCTGCTCCATCCAGAAACTAAAATATTAAACAAGGAGGTGAGAAAATTCAGGGGAAGTGGAGCAAGCTCAAGCTCAAGCCACTGGTCTGTCTGAAAACTGGAGCTTGTTCCAAGGACAGAACAAGGTTAACGAAGGATGGGAATTGGCTGATGCTGCCGATGTGTTTAATTACAGCAGGAAAATTCAAACCTCCAGGACCAGCTGCCGCAGCACAGCGTGAGGCCCCGAACAGCTTTGATTTAAGAGGTTTAGGTTCTGTTTATTAAGTCCCTACAAGGCAGAACAAAACCACAGACAAGTGCCAGAAGGGAGGAACCTTCCATCACTCACATCTGGCAAAGGATAATCAGAAGAGCACAAACGAGACTGGGTGTACATATATATGGAATATAGTTAAAGACACACGGGTAATACCAAGGGTGGTTCCCTGACCCAAGGCACAATTTCTTGCAGATTGCCATCTAGATTTCTGTTTGGCTTGTTGTTGTTTTTTGGTGTTTTTTTTTAAAAAAACACCAATTTGCTGATTATATAAGTTAAGAGAAAAATAACAGACCTCACCGCAACTGTGCGGTTGGCACTCAAGAACTGAGAAGCAGCAGCCAGAAGTAAATTCTGAATTTTGTTCTCAGTACATTCTGTCATGAGGTCAGCGCAGTTGGCACAGATTAACACAAAAAAGTTCTCTTTAAATATGTGGCTTGTGTGTGTGCACAGGCGTGAAAAGCACAGAACAGAGACGGGAGAATCGTTTCCATCACCCCAATTGCACAGAAGACGTTCAAACAATTTAAGCATAGAACTTACCGCATCGAAAGGGAAGAAACTAAGATCCCAAACTAACACTGCTCCCTCCACACACAGATGAAACCCTTTTGAATAATTTAAAACAAATACGGCCTGGAATCAGGCCACAGTCGGGAGCAGATGTAAACAACTTCATCATACAGGCACCTCTGAAAACCAGCATGGGAATCGAGGGAATTCTGTCAGCAAAACTTCAGTGCTACAAATACTCTGTGCAAGACAGCCTTCTCAGCGTATGTCGAGCTAAAACGCACCAAAAGTTGGAATTAATTCTCAGTGTCTTTCTTTGAATCTCTCTGAATTCGGTAACAAACTCAGCATGTGCAAAGTAAGATCACAGAGAGGCTTGTTCTCACGACCTTCCACTATAATAAATAAGTTTCCTGTCCAGAAGTCAAGGAATCAAAACCCAACGAGCAGCTTTTTCTGGCAATTTTTACTTCTTGATGTGCATCAGCTCTGGAGCAGGGTCACTGAGGAACGCAGGCACCTGCCAGCCCTTGAACTCCTTTTCAAGTATCTCTCAGCTGAACACTTAAAAGTTACACAGGATTGATCAGACACTGTTCCATGGTGCGACTGCGTTACAACAGCTGTGGCTGGAAGATCTCATTGAAAGCCACAAAGTATTATGTTCATATAAAAAGAGAATGTATGGAACACAGTGTTTAAATTAATAAATAAGGTTAAAATTACAGGAGATAAAGTGCTGCCACTAGCCCTTTCTAGAATGAGTATTACAAGAAAAGTCCATTTAAACTTTCAGTCCACCAGGAAGTACACAGGGGTTCCATCAAAAGGATGTGCTTTTAAGAATCTCTGGATTTTCTTCTTCCTCCTTGGAATCCCTTTTGCTACTAGATGCAGGCCTGTATTCTAACCTGGGACATATGGAAAAAAAAAAAAGATAAAAACTTAGATGAGAGAATAGAGGAAAAAAAAGTCTTTGATATCCTACGTCCTATTTGATATTAGAGCCTCCTCATTTAAAGATCTTGCTGGCTTCAGTTGGACAGGTCCGGAAATTTGGAGCAGAGAGATCTACCTACACTTGGAAAAGAGGGAGCAGGAATCCAGCCGAGCTCCTCTGTCGCTGACTGAGCACTCACGGTGCTGGAACCAGCCCCCTTCCTCTGGCAACTCCCAGGCAAGTCCCTCCTCTCCTCGGCCCAGAGAACCGGTGTGTGTGTGAAGATCGGAAGGTGACACTCACCCTTTCACCATCAGCATTTGCTCTATTGTGTCTGGAAGCGGCCGGCCGTAGCTTTCTGGCAGAAATAAAGTCAGAATTCCTGACAGCACAGTCAGGCTGCCCATCAGGATGTAAGGCAGGAATCGGTCATAGGCACCTGGCAGAATAATAAAAAACCAACAAAAATCCCCAAACTAGCATCAGCTCTAGGTCTCCCGTACTGTTTGTACTCAGGTATGGGGCTTTAACGGTGCAAGATTCGTGCTTTCAGCAAAAATCAAACCCATCGATGCCCCTCAGAGTCTGGCACTCAAAGCACACGTTATAACTGTTGGTTTAGGAACTCAAGAAACTGGGAAACGACAGCTCTAAGAGCTGTCCCTACTGAGTCACTAGGACTGCGAGTCTTCAGAGCATCTCTGCAACGGGGCACAAAACCCCATTTCTCTACATTACGACCATCCCTCAGAGATGCTGAGATCCCATTTTTACGTGCTGTTTCACAAGACACCTGGTCTTGGAAAGAGGAGACAGCAGAAAAGCTCAACAATCCACTGAGGGAGGACCCTGATCTGGGTAATCCTTTTTAATTGTAATTTAAAGTGATAAAAATTGCTTCCTGACCGCCAGCATCTCCCCACACACGCACAGACCAGCTCTAACTTACCGAGGTAAACAAAGTAAGGCGAGAGGATGCTGCCCAGCCTAGAGGCCATGGAACTCGCTCCAACTCCCATGTTTCTCACCACTGTTGGGTAGAGCTCAGCCGTGTAAACATAAACCATCGAAAAGGCAGACGTGATCCCAAATTTTCCCAGCATCACCAGGAAAATGGACAGCGCACGAATATCTGAAATCAAAATGCAGTAAGGGCTTCAAAAAAGCTCTGACAACTCATGGCATCTCTTCATTCTGTTGTGGTTGTATAACTCCTCCCTAATTAATTCCAGTATCTGGTGGGGTTTTTTCTTCTGAGCGCTGGCCTTCCTGCCAAGCAAAAAATAAGGAGAACAGAGCAAGAACTGGAGAGGTCCTCTCAAATTTCAGGGGCCAGACATCTGCTATTGCAAACAGCACTTTTTAATAAAGTTTCAAGTGTTTAACTTCACTCACAAGTTAATTTTGCTTTCCTAGCTGCAAGTAAATAATTTAATTACAGGAAGCTGGGCTGACTTTAACTGGGACAGTCAGATTTGAAAATCAAAACAGATCCTATCAGTGTCCATTTGACTCAAAGGACAGGAAGGGGGGAAAAAAAAAGAAAAAAGAGAATGCAACACATATTACCTATAGAATATAAGCAAGGCAGTTCTTGCACGTTCTCTTTTGTTTATTCTTTGACTTGTAAACAAGTGCTAAGCGACATCACATTCACCAAAATTACCAGTAAGGAGTCCATAATGCTATTGATCTAACTGGCCTAAAGATACATATGGTTTGAGATCCAAAAAATGTTGCTTTGGGCAACTTTCCAGTTATTTTAACTATCAATGCTAATTCAGTACAAGATCTGATTGAAAATGTTTTCATGATGACTCCCTTGAATATAACTGTTTAAAAAAGCCATAAACGCACAGTCATTGACAGCTGTTTGGGAAGTAATTTCTGCAACCCCTCAGTGACCTCTGCTTAGTAAATTCTGCTTGGTCTAGTTTTGGTTTTACACCTGGACCTCACCAGGGATGTACCTTAAAGGCAAAACTGGACTACAGGGCTAAACCCAGCAGATCACAAAGCCAACGACCCACCTTTAAAAATGTATCTGAATTGACATGTTGTGTGAGCTCCTCGCGCAGCAGCACCGAGAACCAAAGAAAAAGGGCAAAGATAGGAAACGAGGACATTTTTCCTCCACATCTGCCCAGTGCCCGGTGCTACGCTTCACCTATCACACATATTTGAGATCAACTAACGATTCCATACGTGAAGGCACCAGCTGAACGAAGAGAAGAACACAGCCTCCTAAGAATAACGCAGCAGCCATTGAATACCGTCGAGGGAGATTTCGAAGCAGCAGCCAGGAAATAACGTAGGCTGGAACTTCAATCACTGCCGAGAGGAAGCAGTTCAGATAGACATCTCCGTGCAAGTTGGGCGTGTCAAGAGAAAGTCCAAAATAGCCAACAGAGATTATCATCCTGAAAGAGGCAGAATAACAGGATCAGACAAATTTCTTCCTGAGGTTGCAGCAAACCTCTTTTACATCTCTGTTAAGTGCAGAAATCACTAGGTAAGGCAAATTTAGCGTCTGCCAGATTCATTTACCTCTGAAGCAGGTGAAGTGTTGACTTCAGAAACGGCAAGAGAATAATTAAACAGTGTTGATGCTTTTTATATTTTAAGTTGCTCTTGAATTCAGAGAATAAAATCTACTTTAAGAAACATATAAACATCCTATTCAGTATCAGGTAACTCTAGAGCCATTGCTGAGGCACAGGTCTCGGATGGTCCTGCAGCTACAGAGCTCACAGCTCTCTTCTGATGTCGTTGCAACCATCTGTGTCGCCCTACCTCAAACCCTGCAAGAAAACTCTGGGGTTTTGTCACTTTTAGACACTTTACTTGTCTCTGCCAGTTGTGCTGACTACTTCTCACATGTGCTTCTGTATTTCAGGTCATCCCCAGGATATGTGTGATCATTCACTACGCAGTGATGCTGCAGTTCCTATTACCAGCAGTTACAGCCTTAACCTGTAAGTCTGGAAAACTGACTTCTGCTGCTGCCGAGACCTACAGTAGCTCCTCATGACGTTTATCAGGGAGCTCTGGGTGGAGAACATTGTTTGTGGGTCATTACCCTCTACGCTTTGTGTATGAAGTCAGAGATGAGGAGTATGGCATCCCGGCAAGACCCAAACAACCTGGGATTTTCTCTGCTACGCCCCAAGCTTGTTGGGCAGCATCCAAGTCAGGTTGGCGTGACTCGGGCTGGTGAGTGCGGCAGGACAGAGCTTGGTGGCCAGGAACACTGAAACCTTAACTGTGATGAGCGATGGCTCCCATGGGATCAATGCAAACACATATTTGGAGACAAATCCTGTCGTGTCTCGGGAGGTGAAGGTCAGGCTGCACCAACAAGTAATACATGGCAAACAAGGAATAACTGGCACCAAACCCGCACGTGTCCAGGTACAACGGCGAGGCACGGAGCGTTCAGAGCTTCAACCCCTTCAGCATGTCTGTTCTAACAGAGATGCTGCACAATCGCTGCAGAGCACGGAGCGGATGACCGACTGCTGATCATGTCTGCCTCCTCCTCACTTCACTTGGGAAGAGCCTTCACGGTCCAGCTGCTTAGAAGAAGCTGCCCAGCGGCCCTGGGAACATACAAACTCTCACAGGGCAATTCCTCATTGCCGCAGGTGCCCTGCCAGCTAAAACTATTGTTCTCAGAACCAGTTACGTGGCGTTTTCCACGACGCTGTGCAATACGCCCAGCCCCGTGCTCCCAGGAGTTATTTTTATACACAATAAACTTGCTGGAACTCACTTTCAGTAGTAGTTTGCCTTAGCTTTCCAGTCATTGGCAAATCTTGATACAGCTATACAGTCTCTAGGAAAATTTTACAGGTATTTACACATCCCAGGGTGTTGAGAAGCTAAAATTCCTCCTCCCGGATGCAAACCCAGGAAAGAGATTAACTTTAAAGGTCTGCTACTTACTAAAAACTAACAAAACACTTGGCAATTTGAAAAGGTAACATACTGCTACCTGCAGCCATCCTCTTTAACAGTTTCTTTTATGAGATCTTTCAGTTCATAATGCAGAATATGCCACCAGAATGCTATGGGCTGGAGAACAGTGCTATGAATAAGCACAAGACACTATATTTTGGGAAATGAACTAAAAGGAGGTCAGTAGCAAGTGGCATGCAAGGCGAAAATAGTGGAAAACTTGCCCAAAGCAACCGAATACTTTTCTGCAGGAGGAAGTAAGATTGTGTGAATTAGTTGCACAGGTTTGACTTTTCTTGCCCATCATAAAACTTCATTTATTGTGCAGTGAATTGAACGGATTACATACTGCCGGGTCACTGTGTCTCCCTCTGATGCTTTGTCCTACGAGAAATGCTGTTCAGGCAGGTTTTGCATTTGAATTCTACAACTACACATGCAAAATCAGCTGTGCCTAGGAACTCGCTACTGACCTACTCCACGCAAATTAGAAGTTCCCTAGTTCACTTTCAATTAACGATGAAAGTCAGCGAGTGGACTTGGAGGTAAGGCAACAGAATATGGAAACCCTATTGACATTTCTGCAAAAAACTAACAGTATTTTTTAGGGTTTTTTTGAGCTGTTTTCTGCACAAGTTCCTTTGTAGAACTGTGCTCGATGACAAGCAATGGAATCTGGCTTAAATATTAGCCAGTGATTATTTGACCCAAAAAGCCACATCGGCTTGCTTACTCTGGCAGCTCTGTGAACTGAACTCCAAGGCTTTGCCCCCCTAGAGCACAGGAACATGGTTCAAAAAGGCAGCAAACAAACCTAGAGAGCTCCAAAGAACTCGAGGGACCTTCTTGGTTAGGGCACTGTAGGGTTATGCACTAATTAAGATCATTTTTATAGCCTCTGGCAGGCGCTAAGTTACTTTCTCAATCTTCTCTCTTCTGAGCAATTACAGCTTCAGAGATTTCCAGTAATGGAAAATTACAACCATTTCATCAAACTAAGCACAACTAGAGCAAAACCCAGCTGAAGCTGGCAGGTAGACAGAGCAGCTAGCAGGGAAGTCTTGGGAAATCTCAGATTAGAACTTCAAAGGCAGCTTTATCCCTTTAAGAGACAGCACAAAAGAGATGGGAAGATTCTCCCCTAAATCAGGCAACGTTGAGTTCAGACTCAGAGTAGTTCTCTGACTGGGAGACGGGGCCTGACTCATTCGTCTTAAAAGACTTTGCTACAGTCAGATGAGAATTCCCCAGAGGCCAGGATCAGGCAGGGCTCCCACGCATCACTGCCAGCTGATCTGGTTCTTGCTCAGTTCGAGATATGCTTGACTGCTTCAGAAAGAAATAACAACCCAAACATGTTTCTACAGACTGCTACTGAAATGAAGAACCTACACAACCAGAATCTTATTGCTCCAGCCAGCAGCCTGTTGGACTTGAGCTCGTTTTGTCCGTAGCCCTTCAGAACACTTGGTGTGCAAAGAGCAGTTTTTAATTGTTTTGCTGCTTTGTGCTTACATACTTCTGAACCACACTTGCTTACCAAAGCAGGATTGACATGATTGTGATAGTCAGGATATTTCGAGTTTTCATGAGATCCAGAATGGTGTACGTCTGTTGCTTCTGGGAATTCAAATCTTGCAGCTGGAAACAAACAAACAAACAAGCCAACCATGGAAACATTAACTTCTTGCAAGCAGAATTGCTGTGAAAGTAAGTCCCCCCAACCTATATACATCAGTACTTTGATGTGCTGCAGAACCTACTACCTGTGAAAGTAATTTAAAGTGACTTCAAATTTAGGCATTAATTCATAATAATTTTCTCTGCCCGAGGCTTCACAAAGCAACAGCTTGTTGTCACTTTTATACTCGAATTACAAAGTGACAGCATTTATTCCCCATTTGTCACTACTGGCAGAGTTCTTACACCCCGTTCAGACATCTTGAGGGTCCTGGGAATCGACTGCACTCAGAAAAGGAGAGAGCAACAAGGAGGACGAGACATTTAAAACCATGATCTCTAAAACGAGAGGATTTATTTAGCCAAAGAAGACTGAGGGCATCTTAATAGGCCAAGAACGGTCTTCAAAGAGCAGGAAAAAAAAAAGGGATAAACCATCCTCTATGGGCACTGTAGACAAGAAAAGAAATTGAGTAAATGACTTCTCATGCTCGACCTAAGAGCAACATATTTAAACTGAGACCAACTGGCTAATGAGCTGGAGTCCTCATCGTTATCTAGCCTGGTTTTGAGATCATCTAATACAAGCAAAAACACAACAAACTTCTCGCCCCGTGAAACTTTCCAGCTCTTCAAAATAAAAACTACTTCCTTGTAAATAATGCCAAGATATTAATCCATGAAGCATGCAACTAAGTTTTGTGCTCGACTGTAAAAAAGGAAAGAATTTAAGGGTCGGTTTGGGTTTGGTTTTTTTATATTTAGGACTTCAGTTTAGGCCCCTAACAAGGAGTGATAAGGAGGAGTCTTCCAAATATGCAAAAGGTGATTTAAGTGGGCAAGTTCCGTTCATTAAAACTACCATCTCTGATAAGCAACACCATATGGCTGAAGAACCACAGTTTTCTAGACATGTCATATTTTTGTTATCGCAAGAGAGGGTATGTTTTCAGGGTTTAGCACAGGTTATTTACCCATCAATTTAACGGTATTTTTAACAGTCTTACAGTAAGAACGTAAACAAGTTTTAGATCCTACAATCTTCCACAGATATTCCTTTTTCTGTTAGGACATCTTGCGTCTACCTGAAGCTACGGCTCTATCACCAGCCGGAAATCTACTCAAGAAAGGAACAAGCATCCACCTCAGCAGCTCAAAATTATCAAATGAAAAAAAGTAATACTCAAATATTTTTCAATTTTGACACTTCTTGAACTGTAAGCTGCCAAGACACCTCACAATACTGACGAGAAGACTTCTCCTTCCACAGTCAGAAGAACCACTCTTGCCTAACAGACCTCTGTTATGCACAAGCACAATAAACCGTACACAAAGATTACTTCCTCCTTTGTTCCTTTGAAGTCAGCGTGACCGAGAACACGGCCCATTAAATTTTAATATGTTTAAAGACTGAAAGTGCTCTGTTGGCATCGCGTACTCCTTCACCATATGTGCAAATGGTTATCAATACGAGGAAACCATGACTGTAGCTTCAAGCCAGTGCAATGACTCACTACTTCAAACTTCTCTGAACTCTTTCCACCACTTTTTACCATCCTCTACTCCGAGCTATCTCAACTTACAATGCTTTCTTCCCTAAAACATGCGGCTGGTCCAGCAGAAGTAGTTGGATGTACAGCAGGACACAACTCACCAAAAAAGAGACAAAAGCAATCATTAGGTTTAACTTAATTCTTCACCAATCTCTCTTCCGTATTGAGCTAGCGATGTTTCTTTTGGCAAGCTCCCTGCCGGACACCAGTTTGAGGCCCTTAAATCTTGTCCTTTGACTCAAAATACACATTATCCCCTCAACGTCTTGTAAATTGTACCCGAGCTAAGGGGAACACAGAGTTTATGCAACCCCTGCAGTCAGGTGAGAATCATGTGAGTGACGACTTCGAGGATTAAAAATAGCGGCCTGATGCCTTTGCAAACTGCAGTGCATTTGCTCTGATAAACGTTCATTTTCTGCAACAGGCAGAAAACAGCTTCTATACATTTGGTAATTTTCACTCTGCCAGAGCCAAACCCCTCGCCAGGCACACTGCAGTCAGCTTGAGAGCTCCCAGCCCTTTCTCATAAATCACATGATCTTTCCTAAGTGCTCTCCAGTTCTGTCCCCATTTGTTGCCAAGAAACCAGCAAATAGGAAACAAAAAAAAAAAGAAGAAAAAAAACCCCAAACAAACCACAAAACAAAACCAGGAACAGTAAAGTTGAGAGAATCAGTTTATGAGAAACACAATCCTGCCGTTTAGGAGCTGGATAAGCAGACAACATAATCCTCAACAGGGCAAGCTAGAACAAGAAGCTTAGGAGAAGGGCAGGGAGGACAAAACGATGACTTGAAATTAAACCCATCACCCAAACATTTTTATCCCCTTTACATAGGATAATTCAGCCAACCAGCCCCTACTTGTGCTCCCACTAGTCACCTGCTGGACCCCGACTGGTCTGGAGTTCTCTGGAGCCCAAGTACTGCAGGTGCTGCTCCCAGCCGCAAGGGTTTGAGGAATACTCCAAGCAGGAGCTTGGGTTGTTCCTTCATCCAGAACTCACATTCCAAATGCTCAAGGGCTGAGGGCCAGCCAGATTTCTGAGAACCTCTCTGCAGCATAAACATACTGCCTAAAAACTCAAGAGAGGCTGTGAGCCTTTCCCTTACAGACAGCTCTTCAGAAAGCAAACACGCAAACAGCACAAGCAGACACTGATGAAGAAAAGCTTTGCATAATTTTTTTGGTCACAGTATGACTTATACTTCAAAAAGAAAAACCTCGGACGGCAGTTCTGCATTTAAACAGCGCCTGCTCCTTGAGCTCAATTTCCTTCGAACAACGCTAATCTGTGTTTCTGAAAGTTCATGTGAAATGGTTTCTCTGTAAATAAGCAATGAGCACTGATGCAGAAGTTGGCATTTCCCTTCGTCCAGCGCTCCCTGGGGCAACATCCCTACTCTTGCCCGGCCTCCAGCAGCTTCAGAATCCAACCCCACTCAGAGATGACAAAATGATTGCTATTTCTTTCTAAGAAGAGGAGACAGACGATTCCAGGGACAGTGACCTTAAGCATATGTTGGAGCCAAAGCTTATTTTTCCTTCTCCTGCTGCAGTGCTGGCAATGGGTGAGTTTTCACGTCTACAGCATGAGAAAGGGGGTGGGGGAAAAAGGCAAAAAAGCATGTTCTAATGATAATCCAGGGGAAAAAAAGACTATCAAAAGAAGGTCTGTAGTTTCCTGCTTTCTCACTCTGTTCCCTCAAGATCGGGATGCCTGTCCTACAATCTACAAATAAGTCTGGACTAACAGGCTTGTTTGCACCTCGGCTAACTTCAACCCAAGCAAAGCTGTTTCAATCCCAATAGCAACCACGCTGCAGTTTCCTGGCTGACCATTTCCCTCAGCCTGGTACAGAGCCCTTGTAAAGCAAGTGAGTCTGCAAGGGCTTATCATGCAAATGCCAAGACAATGTCAATTGTCAACCAGAACACAGGTGGGCGAGTGCTCAGACAGTCTGCCTACAGAGGTGCCCAGTCTCCTGGATCACGCAAACAGTTTGTCTCGCTTTTGGAGGTCATGTCTGAATGAGCGTGGAACTGTTTCTACTTAAGGTCAAAGAGCTCAGACAAAGCGGAGATATTTAGACAAAACAATACCATGTTGGAAGAAAGAGATAAGGAAGAAAAGATACCAATACCTAATTTGCCCTTAAGGGACTCAAGTTTTGCCCTCATTAACACGCAGGAGAAATTAAAGCTGACTATGGAGTTGAATAGAACAACATTATTTCCAGTGCCACTGGCCAGGATTAGTCCCGTGTTAGACTTTTACAGAGCTATTATTAGACTGAGCAAGCATAAAAATCTGTTCAGCGCAAGTATTTAGATCATTAAACAACAGGTAACTCAAATTCACCACCTCCCCCCAAAAGCTAGAGTTTGAAAGAAAAGAAGTAGCTGTAAACTGGAACTAAAAGACGTTTGCATTAGAATACACTCTGGCATTCCCATGGGAATGAGACAACAAGGGCTTTTCCTAACGAAACAGGGAAAGGGTATGCTGCTTTCCAGGAAAAGGATGGCCATTTGCCCATTTGAGAAATACATAACACAAGCATAATTCAACTCTTATCTCTGGAAACAAATCACTTGACACGGTCATTAACAGGTCCAGCGAAAAACTGGATTGCTAAACAGATCTTACCTCACTAGGGCCAAGTATTACATCTGGGGCTGTGATGCCATTAGTTTTTGCAGCCTTTCGGATGATGTTTTCTGCCTCTTGAAATCTTCCCTGAGAGATCAGCCACCGTGGAGATTCTGGAATGATCCTGTAGAAAAAAGGTTCAGAATAACAAACTTGCATTTCTACAGAAAGTACTGTTGCAGGCACACGTTCTTCCAGGCATCAAGAGCTCAAAACTTGCCACATCTTGCAGAAATTAGAGCGATGATGACAGAAATCAGATTTGCAAGAGCAGACTAGCGTACTGAACAAGACCGGACTAAAACGTGCGTGTGGATTTTAGAAGTATTAAAGAAACAAATGATGACTCAGACAAAAAAAAAACGAGCAACCCAAACCTTCATCGTATGGGAAAACAGTTCAATTATAGAAATTCAGAAATGTGAATACATGAGCAGCACGCTGCACATTACGAGGCACATCCTTCAAGAATAACACATACAGAATCAGTAACTGTAGATACTGTCATCTAAAGACAAGTCAGAAAAGAGAATTTGCCTGAGTCATTCAACTTTGTAAGAAAAGAGACTCACAAACATAAATACCAGTGTAAGTGAAGAAACACCACCACCATGTGGCCTATTTAAACATGACATGCCACCGAAAAGCGTTTCATTAACTATGAATTCAGAAAACACACAAGTCTCACAGCACAAGTACTGCTTTGTGACTCGTCAGGTTGATGCCACCCTGGCACTGCCCAGCTTCTCAAGACAAAATTGCTTCTGCTTAAGGCCAAAGAGCTCAGACAAAGAGGAGATACTTAGAGGAAACAAGACCATGTTGGAAGAAACAGGGAAGAAAAGATCCTGCTATCTAATTCGCCCTCAAAGGACTCAAATTTTGCCTTAACATGCAGTAGAAATTAAAGCTGACTATGGAGTTGAACTAGAACAACATTATTTCCAGGTTTCTCATTCTGTCCTTAGTTCGGGCCTACAAGCTCATAGATTTCAGTTGGTGCAGAAGGATGAGTTTATTGACTCAGCTTTTTCTTTCCCATATGGGCGCATCAATTTTTATAGATGCCTAGAGAAAATGTAGAATAGGCTTTCCAGCCGTGAGTCAGATCACCCACAAAGCTTCGGATTTACAGTGAGATGACGAGAAAGAATAAAGGACGCAACGTTTGTTCTTCACCTGCCCGTTCCTGAATTCCATTGGTACAGGCTAGTTGGCCTAGAGTCTGGATCTTGAAAACCTGCAGACGGGACCTTCTAAAGACTGAAGTAATTTAATTCTGTTGTACTTACCACCATAGCGGGATGCAGAGCAGCCCAGGCAAGGTGAGTGCCAGCAGCAGCATCCGCCAGTCTCTGATGAAGTAAGCAAACAGCGGCAGCAACATGTAGCCAATTGCATAAAATATGCAAACGCCCAGCGTGCAGAACAGCACACGGATTGATTTGCCAAGAATTTCTGTGCCTGTTCAAAACAACAGCGTGAAGATCAGTATTTTTAATTTCACAGCAACCAAGTAACTTAACAAAAATACCTCTAAGGATTGGCTTTGGAATATACTACACCGGGTAGTTGTGGCACGTAGCCTGCTCTGCCATCCCATTTTAGAGGCATCACCGATCTGCTTCATGAGGTGATCCTGCATCAAGCCAGATCCTTATGCATATAGAAGGAAAAGATCTGGGCTTTACAGTATTTCTGTAGCCAAAGTAGCTCATACTTGTATAATTTTATCTTCTGAGAATCTCACATTTTACTTCAGGAACTAAAACCACCCGATATGCTACAAAACATTCCCAACAGCTGCCCTCAGCCTGATCTCCGCAGAGTTCTCTCCAGCTTACGAGAGACCAACTTCTTTAAAGGTTAATTCAGAGGTCCCCAAATCAGATTCCCAGCCCGGATCACCTTCTAAAAGACTATTTTGCTTTATTAGCTGAAGAAGCTTGCGGTCTTTTGGTGTACACGTGGAGTTCGTGTTGGGCCACAAACACACACCAGGCTACTGGCGGTGGGACTAAATGCAGGATCAGGGCTCGGTGCTTCCCCCTGAAATGCTCTGGGACCTACAAATCAACAGACGGAAAAAGAAAATCTTCCTCGTCCTCACAGAAGTCAAAGAAGACACCAGAAGTTGCAGCAGGGTGCCTGCAGTGACATTAGCTAAACTCTGGTCCAGGCCAAAAGGGATTTCTTGCCAGTGTTTGGTACTTTGGACACGGAGGTCACTCTAAATAACGCCAATAAAAAAATATTTTTATGAAATCTCAGATTTGTAAGGTAATTCACATTCCCATGATCCAAAGGTCTCAGTTAAATCGAAAGTATACAGATCAAAAATCCTTACGCCACTTACATTTTTACTACAGGCTGTTTAAAGGAGACTTTGTAACACTAACTGCTACTTTTCTTTTGCAAGTTTTTAAATCAAACAGACATTGAGGCCCCAAAACGGACAACATAAATCCCTGAAAAATAGTGTCTTCCATGTCTTATCTCTCCAACTAGAAGACAGACTATGTTTCGAATAAACAATTTCTGGTTTTTTTGCCTTTTTAGGATGGTAAGCCACAAAACTAATTCAGATTGCACCTCTACCAACTGGAAACTTCCAAGGAGAGGCTGAGTTATCCATGTACGGTGGGGATACAGTCTGTAACAGCACTGCTTGACAAAATGAATCAACCCTAAGCCAGTACCGAAAAGGAGCAGGAAAAGCACAAGACTAAAGAACACACATTGTGCACAGCAGGGATTTCATACCAAGAACAAATGCTGCCACGTAGTTGGATATCTGTCCCATGCCGACCAGGAGGAAGAACACTGAGAACATCTCCCAGCTGGTAGAGAAGACCTGGATGAAGCTGAAGCCAGTCTGCATGGCCAGAGTCGCAAAGAGCACATTCTTCCTGCCAAACCTTCCAGGGAGAGATTAAAAAAAAAAAATAAAAAAAAATTATATAACAGCATGAATGAAATCCCCAGAAACAGAAAAATAAGATTGCTCATATGCTTACTTAGGGACATAGAAAACATTTGCAAAAAGCAGAGGTTCAGGAAACACGACACGGGTGTAACTATTCCAAATGCATTTAAAAAAATCCACTGGCCAAGAGAAAACAATATTCCAGGGCCGCTAGTTAACTTGCCTTAAAGTATGTGCTGGGACACTATTCCTTTCTTACAGATAGGATGAGAACAGAGACAAATCATGGGGAGCAAAGTATTTAAACAGCAAGAGTATTAGATGCTGCTTCTCTATGGAGCACCCAGTTCATGACAGAAATCAGCACGTTAATAAAAAAAAATAATTGAAAAGAAAAAAGGGAAAGCTTCTGCAAG